CTATTTTTAGAGACAGTGTCTCCCTCTTGCTCAGGCTGATCTTGAACACCTGAGGTGAAGCAGTCTACCCTCATCAGCCTCTCAGGGTGCTAGAATTAGTTGTGAGCCACTGTACCCAGCATTTTTTCTATTTTAGTAGAAGTGGGGTCTTACTCAGGCTGGTCTCAAACCCCTGAGCTCAAGCAGTCCTCTTGCCTTAGCCTCCCAGAATGCTAGGATTACAGGTAGGAGCCACTGTGCCAGGCCCTTAGAATGTCTCATCTTAATAAGCCTGTTTACTCCTCAGATTTAGTCTCCTGTAGGAAGCTGCCTTGTGTTATATAATTTCCTCAAGGTCATTTCTGATTATCAGAGAAAACTCTTTGACAATACTGTGCTTCCTCTCAGATGTGGTTGGCCCTTCCCCTGGAAGAGATTTGGAATGCTGACTCACTAGAGGGTAGGTTTGCTGAATAAGTACATCGTCTAGATCTAATTGAAGTTCTATGCTGTTTTAAGTAGTATAAATGAGCTAGACAAAGTGCTGCCTCTGGGAAACCTGTTTGGCTCTGACTTCAGGTTTGCTTGGCATCTAGAATAGAATGCCCCAGTAGATTCTAGTGTCTGTGGAATCTGAAATAGGTACTCAGGTCTCTGTCAATCAAGTTCATAGTAAATGAGTGAAATATTAGTTTGGCCTTCATTTACTTTATGAGTGGAACATGTTAAATGGGCCACTTTGATCTTTAGAGTTTCCTGATGTGGATGGGCTATAGGTGTGCCAAAGTACCCTTAAGCTTTAAGATAGATGAAAACAGTTATCTCCATGGATCTCAGGGTATTATTTGATAGTGTCAATCTCTGTGTATTTTGGTACAAGGAGAAAAATTTGAGAAGTACAGCCCTGGAAGAAGGGAAGCAGTTCTGCTTGTTGAGAGCTGGAGAGAGACTTAATTTATTCAAACTCCCTTTTCTTCCAGGAATTTTACTCAGTGAGTGTTAAGCTGGTTTGTCTTGGCTAGGTCATCACGCAGCTAATTCTTGGTGTAGTCTTTGTTGCCATGGTTGGGTGATATGATGCTAAGGTAGAAAAATGTGATGTTTTTATTTGCTGGGAGAAAATGATTTCAGAGGGATCCTTTCTAAGCTGCCAAGCTTGAAGTACCTTTCAGGGCATAGTAAAAGTAGTGAATCAAGGGATTCTTGGTATGGAACCATTTGGACTGTAAGATCCTTGGGAGCAAAGACTATGGCTATTGCCTTTTTATAGTCCCTGGCAGTCCTTAGCCACAGGAGGAGCTAAGCAAATATTTGTAGATTGAACGTTTAAAGGAGAACTCCAGGTACATTGCCAGGGTCTCTATTTCTGATGATGGGATGTGTAATGGGTAAGATATCTTAGATCAGTGGTTGTCAACCTTTCTAATGCTGCGACCCTTTAATACAGTTCCTCATGTCATGGTGACCCCCAACCATACAATTATTTTCGTTGCTACTTCATAACTGTAATTTTGGGGCAGCGCCTGTGGCTCAGTAAGTAGGGCGCTGGCCCCATATACCAAGGGTGGCAGGTTCTAACCTAACCTCGGCCAAACCGTAACAAAAAATAGCCAGGCATTGTAGCAGGTACCTATAGTCCCAGCTACTCAGGAGGCTGAGGCAAAAGAATTAAGCCCAAGGCAACTGTGAGCTGTGACGCCACGCACTCTACTGAGGGCAATAAAGTGAGACTGTGTCTCAAAAAAATAAATAAATAGGCTCGCTGCCTGTGACTCAAGTGGCTAAGATGCCAGCCCTATATACCTAAGGTGGTGGGTTTGAATCCAGCTCGGGCCCACCAAAACAACAATGACGGCTGCAATCAAAAACATAGCTGGCATTGTGGCAGGCACCTGTGGTCCCAGCTACTTGGGAGGCTGAGTCAGGATTTGGAGGTTGCTGTGAGCTGTGATGCCATGGCACTCTACCCAGGGGGATAGCTTGAGGCCCTGTCTCAAAATAAATAAATAAATAAAATAAAAGTTAAAACGTTACAAGAGTGAATAACGCAAGTGTCTTTAAACATACGCACTGTAATAATAACTTGGTGTATATTCCTCAACTTTGTTGTCTTATATATATATACACACACAGAGTATCCCAAAGGTTGCCCCTGAAGTCACCATGCATAGGAGAAATGGGAAGTTGTAGCCAAATATACCTTTATTTACACAATATTTCACTACAGGGTGAGCACAGTGGCTGAAATCTGTAATCCTAGCACTCTGAGAGGCTGCAGCAAGAGGATCACTTGAACCCAGGAGTTTGAGGTTGCTGTGAGCTACCATGCCCTGGCACTCTACACAGGATGACAGAATCTCAAAAAAAAAAAAAATTCTCTATATGTTGGCCACCTCTTTGTAAAATTTTGTTATGAATATTTTGTAAATAAAGGTATATTTAACTAGATTTTCCCATTTTCTCTATGTATAGTGACTTTAGGGGCTACCTTTGGGACAACCTGTATTAATATATACATTTTTTCTTTTGAGACAGAGTCTCACTTTGTTACCCTCAGTAGAGTGCTGTGGCATCTCAGCTTACAGCAACCTCAAACTCTTGGGCTTAAACGATTATCTTTCCTCAGCCTCCCAAGTAGCTGGGACTACAGACCCCCCGCCACAAAGCCCGGCTATTTTCTTGTTGCAGTTGTCGTTGTTTTTAGCAGGCCTGGGCTGGACTCGAACCCACCAGCTTAGGTGTATGTGGCTGGTGCTGAAACCACTGTGCTATAGGAGCCGAACCAATACATACATTTCTATAATATATGTTTTCATAACTTTCAAAGTGTAATATATAAAGATGGTTTTAAAATATAGCAATAGTAGCTTGGCACCTGTAGCTCAAGCGGCTAAGGCGCCAGCCACATACACCAGAGTTGGTGAGTTCAAATCCAGGCCAGGCGTGCCAAAAAACAATGACAACTACAACCAAAAAACAGCTGAGTGATGTGGTGGGTGCCTGTAGTCCCAGCTACTTGGAAGGCTGAGGCAAGAGAATCGCTTAAGCCCAAGAGTTGGAGGTTGCTATGAGCTGTGACACCACAGCACTCTACCCAGGGCAACAGCTTGAGGCTCTTTCTCAAGAAAAAAAAAAAATAGCAACAGCCAGGCATGGTGGCTCATACCTGTAATCCTAACACTCTGAGAGGCAGAGGCTGGTGGATTGCGTGAGCTCAGGAGTTTGAGACCAGCCTGAGCAAGGAATAGACCCCCATCTCTAAAAACAGTAGGGTGTAGTGGCAGAGACCTATAGTTCCAGCTACTTGGGAGGCCGAGGCATGAGGATCACTTGAACCCAAGAGTGAGGTTGCTGTTAGCTATGATGCTATGGCACTTTACCAAGGGCAAGAAAGTGAGACTCCATGCCAAGAAAAATAAAGAAAAAAGATAAAGCAAATAATTAAATATAGTAACAGCACAGATGTGTGTTTCTTTCTTTTTTTTTATTGTTTGGAATTCATTGTGGGTAGAAAGAATTAGGCTACACTGATTGCATTTGTTATAATTGTGTAGAAATGTGTTTAAAGTGAGAAATTAAGGGCTGGGTGCCGTGCCTCATGCCTGTAATCTGAGCACTCTGGGAGACCAAGGCGGATGAATTGCCTGAGCTCACAGGTTCCAGACCAGCCTGAGTGGGCCTGCTAAACAATGAGAAGTACAACAAAAAAATAGCGGGGGAATTGTGGTGGCCACCTGTAGTCCCAGCTACTCAGGAGGCTGAGACAAGAGAATCACTTAAGCCCAAGAGTTTGAGGTTGCTGTGAGCTATGACGCTATGGCACTCTACTGAGGG